TGTAGCCCCTGCACCAGCAGCATCAGCATCACCTGGAACTCGCTGGCTACGTCAGTTGTCTGAATCTGTTTTAACCCTCCAGGTGATCTTAATGCCTGCTAAAGTTTGAGATGCCCCAGTTTAATTTGTTAGCCCCACACACCCTATTAACCAGGGGATCTGGGCACAATCGGATCCATCTAAGTTCATAGCTCTTTTTCAGTTTGGCTCTTCCAGTTACCTAAGGCAGAGGTTCACGTCCATCACCTCTGGAGAAAGAGAGTTGATTATCAACTGTGAACAGGAACTGGAGTGGGATGCTATCATGAACTGAGGCAGCGCTCAGGACCAGTCACTCACTTTGCCCCTTTTTCCCTTTCTCTCCCATCTGCCCTGTTCTCTTTCCACAGACCTGTTTCCTTACTTCTTCTGTTTCCGTGCCTTCACAGTTGGCATCTGCCTTTGGTCTGCTGTGACCTGACTCTAAAGTCTAAACCACAGCATCCTTTTTGCCTTCATTTCCCTCCCTAACTGGAAAAGTCTTTCCATATAACTTTTCCCATTTGTCAGTTCAAATTCCTGAAAAGGACCCCAACTGGCCCAACTCATCCTTTGAGCCAGGCTGCATCGGTCACATGCTCACCCAAATGATGAGTCTCCTTTGGTCTGATGCTTTTTCCTGTCTAATTAACTGTTGACATAGGATGAGGATGCAGCTGGGGAGAGGGGTGACTTCTGTGCAGTGATAGAGGCTCAGGAGGAAATTGGGGGAGGAAAGAGGAAAGTGCACATGAGGGTCCTTGCCATCCCCCAGCCCACCCACACTAAACCTGTGAATGACTCATGACGGAACTCAGCAGTGGGGTTCAACAGTTTAACTTGCTGAGGGTTGAGTTGGAGACAAAGGTTCTATTACATTTTAATGACCCTAATCTTTAATACAGTGCCAGGCTGGGGTGGCCTGGAAAATACAGGCTACAGGTTATCAACTCCCTAAAAGTCACAGAAGATCCAAGCTGGAAGGAACTTCAGAGATCACCCAGCTCAGTGGTTCACAGCTCTGGCTGCCCGTGAAAATCCCTAGGGAACTTTTGAAAACTAAAGCCTGGGCCCCACCTCAGGGATTCTGATTTAAAGCTCCCCAGATGCTTTCAATGCACAGCTGTCCCTGAAAACCACGGCTCGAACTTGACCCTGTTAATTTTACATGTGGGGAAACAGGCTCTGTTACATAATGTGAGTCTGGCTCACCTCAAGATCTCATTTCTAACTTGGTTATAGAGTTTGGATCATTAGATGGTTAGAGCTGTAAGCGATCACAGAAACCATGCAATCCAACCCTACCACTTTTACTTGAAACTGAAGACCTAAGACTTGCCTAAGGAGTCACAGCCAGAAAGGGGGTGGCAGGGGCTAGAACCTAGGTCTGCCTGACTCCTAACCCAGTGCTTGCCCATAACACCAAGCTGGAGGACAAAAGGGCCAGATGAGAAGCTAAGCTGCCCCAGCTGCAGACCTTGTGCTTGCTTGGCTCCAGTGAGCCTTCCCACTGGCACAGCTGCAAGAGTTTGGCAGAGGAACCTGGGCATGATTGGATATGGGACAGTCTCAGCCGAAGGAATCAGCATTTTGGTGCCCTGAGGATGGGGAGGAGGCAGCTAGTCTGATGATGCTAATCCTTGATTTCTGCCTGTCTCCCACTTCTGCTGGGAGTGTGTGTGTGTGTGTGTGTGTGTGTTAGTGTGTGTGTGTTCCTGAACGACTGACAGTTGAGTTGGAGGCCAGATTTTGATGTGCTCAAAGACTGAGCCCTGGGTGTCAGGGGTCTTCTGATTTGCTGACATAAGGTTGTCTTTGTTTTCCAGAGTGGCTTTGGTCAAGTGTTGGCACCCACTGGTCTGTGTTCGGCTAGTAATGGCTTCAGTGAGCATTTAGGAAGCAGAGGCGTGTGCTCCAGGGGTCCCTCTGTATGTGTATGGGTGTATGTGGATGGAGGTGGCTGAAGATCAGAAGGTTCTAATATAAAAAAGGAGGCAAGGGCTCACCAGACATAGTGAGTGAGAAGCAGGAAACCCCTAGGAGGTGAGTCTGAGCTTTAACCACACCCTTTTATGGGGGTTGAGGTGACAGAGAAGAAGAGATGAGAAAGTAATACCCCTTTAAGCTTGTGAGGAACTTCACAATTGATACAGCACGTTCATACACATTTAATTCATCCAACCTTCACAATCACCCCACAAAGTGGACAGTCTCTGTGATCCGGCCTTGGGGATGGGGAGTAGCAGGGCTCCAAGGCCCCACGGCTATTAGTCAGGGAGCTGACCCACTCTCTCCAGACTCCAGCCGCAGTGCTCTCTCCACCATGGTATAATGCCCTCCCGTGTGTGTGTCCCTCATGTGTGCAGACCGGTCATAGAAGGGAGTTCATGTGAAGGCAAAGATGCGAGTGTTTATTTATCTCTGAGGCGTCATGTTTACCAGGGCCACAAGAAACTGGACAGTGAACACAGGAAAAATACAGGGACTTGGCTCTGGGTCAGCTGCAATGTCACAGACAAGTCAGCCTTAGTTTTCATCTGGGTAAAGGAACAAGCACCTTGTGGGGTTGGTGTAGGGCTCAGAGATAAAGGACACGAAGCACTTAGCCTCGGGCCCGTCATGAGCCCCGTAAGTATTCCATAAATGGTAGCTGTTAATATTCTGTGTACATGTTACTGGCCTGTGTGCAGAAACCCATGTGTCTGCAGATGGGAGGGACCACAGCCTGGCTCAGGGGCAAGGGCTGCTGACTTTGTCCAAACCCAAATACGTCTTCAGGGGTCTTCCACAGAGCCTCCGACTAGTGAAACCAAGTCCCACTTCCTGCCCTCGCTTTTCTAACTCATCACAGCCTCTAATTGCTCACATGTATCTGCTAGTGGATTTGCTAATTAAGCACAGATCATTTAAGGTCTGAATCAACATCAGAGTGTGGAGGCATTTCAGAGGACTAACTCAGTTGATTTACAGTTTAGACTCTTGGGTACAGTGACTGAGTCAGACAACAAGTCCTGGGGTGGTGGGTCAGGCTGGTCAGAGCACTTACTAGGGCTGGGCCCTTTATATGTGGAATCTCACAGAATTCTCACAATTCTCACGTGAATGGGCATTATTCCCATATTACACATGAAAATACTGAGGAGGTGCTAAATTGATCGTCAAAAGTCATCAGGAAGTGGGATTCGAGGCCAGGTCTGCCTTGGCTTCGAAGTCTGTGCTCCTTCTACTACCCACAACTCAACCCTCATCACCCAAACAGGCTGGACCCCACACAGAGTCTGGAAAATGTTAAGTCTACAAGTGTGTGCACATTGCTTGGAGCCCAAGAAGACGAGGAGGGTAAAGACAGGGCTGGTCAAGAGGGAGGTGGCCTGGGGAACGGAGAGTATTCACTAACACTGACAGCCAGCCACACTGTTTTGGCTTCCTCCCCGCGCCCCCTCCCTGGTTGAGTTGTGTTCACGCCTCCTGCCTGACCTCACTTCCGGCTTGTTTTACCTCTTCTGAATCACAATCTAGTGACTTTCAGGGGGCATTCCTTCAAGGTATGCTAAGCCAGGATCCATGGCCCATGGAGGCATGTGCAGAGGGTGTGCCAGGAGAGAGGCAGGGAGGCAAAAAGGAGGTTCCACAGAGTCCAGAACCTTCTGCTGTGTCTCATCTGCCCAGGGGTGCTCCAGGTGCCCCAAAATACTCTGGCATCTCCCTCAAGGTTGTGAGGCAATGCAGAGCCCCAGGTGTATTGGAGGTGCAATGTTAGCATCAGCTGGACCTAATTAGCTTTGGTCTGGGGCCAGGCCCTTTCACAGAGAACTCCATTGTTCCCGGGGAACCTGGCAGGAATGTTAATCATTTCAGAAACTGAGAAGGGGCTGACACTCCCTCGTGGCCTTGGGGCTATCCTCCCTTCAGATGCTAATCCATAAAATCATTCGAAGCCAGGCCTCGGATGAAGCTCTGGGGTGGAGCCCAAACTCTCCTTTCTCTCAGGAGCAAGGCAGGTGTGGAATTAACACCTGGAAGGCAGCCAAACGGAAACCTGGAGCAACAGCTCAAAACGTCACACGTCAAATAACTTAATTGGGTAATCATCTGAAGAAGGGTTTGTACAAAACATACACAGGACGTCTGCACCAAGAGTGTGAGGGATGAATCCAAGAAGACAGTTCAGTATGCCCATGCCTGCCTTGGCCCCACCCAGCCTCGGGCCCAAGACCCGGCGGGATCATTCCCTGCCAGGAGAGGCTCTGGAAGCCATACCTAGCAATCCCCACCTTAGACCCCTGGGCAATCCAACATTCCTGGAGCTACGAGGGCACCCTGCCCTGAATGTCCACCAAATGTGCACAGTCCAAAACTACAGCAGGCAGTGTAGGGTCTTTCCATTTTTCCTTTTCTACTTTTTAAGAATATATATTCTGAACTCACCATGGAAAAAAACCAAGCTCTCTCTTTGGAAAACTGCCCCCAAATTCTTTGTCTCTGAAAGAAAAGGTAGTGCCAAATTTTTTGCCTAATAAAATGACATTTCAGTGGAATCTGAGTCAGGCCCAAACAAAAAAATACTGGTTCTTTGAGACAGCATAAGAATTCAGTCTTTAGTATCCAACACGCCATTATTCATAGGCCCAAACTGGCAGGAGGGCTGTCGGCCCTTTGGAGATGACCCGGAAAGCAGGGGGATGCGATAGGAAGACGAGAGAAAAACAATCTGAAATACCTCTCAGGCCAACTCTGAACATGTTGGGTATTTATTATTTGGAGGTGTAGAAGCTCCACTGTCCCCTTGCTAGATAGTCTCTCAGCTCATTTCTCTGCTTATGGGGTCATTCTCCTGAGCAAGTGCTTAAAATCAAACGTGTCATTGTTGGGCCGCTGGCCCAATAGGGAATAACCTCCAGAGTCCAAGTAAGCAAGCGGAAAGAACTGATTCCCCTCTGTGAGTCAGCCCCTCCTGAGCCCCCGCCCCCAGCACAGCTCACCGGGGCCTGCGGAAGGTCAGGCCATAGTGCTGACAGGCCAGCCCCACGGTGGGTGTGTACACGATGGGCATGAATTTCTCCACATCTGATGTCAGCACTCGGTAGAACAGCTTCTCATTCCGGTCTTGGAGTGTCATGAGAATGATGTACCTTGGAAAGGGAGACAAGAACCAAGCTGATCACATGAGCACCATACGTGGCAGCAGGGGAAACCCCTGATGTAAAGCCCAAGGGCTCCCATTCGCTACTTACAATGGCTCATTCACCAGCCCATCACCCATCCTCCCTAAGCATGGGTCTCGTCATCCACAAAATGTAGAGAATATTACCTGCCTTATGGTGCTTATTATTACACACGGTCTAGGTAAAATTCTAAATATTTTACATTAACTTAGTTAAAACTCCCAACGACTTGTGAGGTAGATGCTATAAATCTTGCTATTTTAGAGACAAGGAGACCAAAGCGTAGAGAAATGAAATAACTCACCCAAGGTCTCATGGTAGAGTAGGGATTTGAACTGAAGAAATTTGATTCCAGAATCTGTGCTCTCAACCAAGGTGCAAGATGGGTAGTTATGTTATTATCATATGGACATTAACGGATGACAACAGAATGATAACATTCTGGGGGTGGAGTAAGGTCAAGGAAAATACTGGGCACACCAGTGATGTATGAACTGGCCTTTCCCATCACACAAGGGTGGTTCCTGCCACAAGCTGAGCTCACAAAGGGCTGAATTCCAAGTGATCTCAGGAGGCAAATTCCAAAAAATCTCTCACCTGTTCCATGAAGTGTGAAATCACTAAACCAGGAAAAGAGCCTTTCATTCACACTCCTAAAAATGCAAAAACCTCTGGGAGAAAAAATCCAGTGGCTGAAATTCTCAATGAGGTGTTAGTGACTGCTGATACCACAACCTCTTTGGATAACAGTTTGGGAGAGAGAGTGGAGGCTCTTGAAGCCCTGGCACAGAACGGGGTGACAGAAATGCTCTGATAGGGGAATGATCCCCAGGCCTATGTAACCTTGGGGAGGTCTTTTGACCTCTTGGGGCCTCAGTCTCTTCTTCTCCACCAAAGGCACTGGTCCAGAACTAAAAATTATGTTTTAGAAGGTGCTAGAAAGGGAGGGTTTATGCTCAGAAGAGCCAGGATCTCAACTCATCACTACTATAAGGTCCCTTATCCAGTAACCATCTCGTCCCAATTCTGCACTCAGTGATGTCAAGCTGATAACTTAATCGGCCAAGAAGGGAATATTTACATCATGGAAATTGGGGAATGCTATAAACTGGGGCTTCTCCTGCCTCCCCTGAAGAACCAGTTATTAAACATTTACCAGCACACCACTGCCCTTAACCCAAAAGAAGTTGGGGAGCTTCCTCAGCATGTCCCCCAGCACCTGCTGAAATGAGGACTCCTAGGAATGAGTGGGTCAGAGCAGTCAGCAGAGTGTCAGGAGCAAGCACTCTAGAGCTCCCAGAAACAGGCACATCCCCTGCCTCCTGAGCCTAGCATTCTTCCCTGGCAAACGAGCAAGGCCCGTCTAGCCAGAAAGAACTGGAGTGGGGAGGATTTGGGACTTTACAACTTTTAGAGTTCAACATCCTCAGAAAAGAGAGTTTCGCTTTGGACTTTAACTCTTTGTAAATTGAACAAAAGAGTGAGGTTGAGGTTGTTCAAAATTAGAGCATGTCTCATGTTTTCAGTTGGACTAATTGTGTCCTTTCTGGTTTGCTCTTCAGGGTGACATCGCTCGACCCAGTCTGAATGGGATAAGTAAAAGGGACAGAATATCTGGCCTGGGTTGCAGTATGGCCTGGGAGTTACCGTGAGTAATGTCCACAGAGTTTAGCGCTTCAGGAGTAATGGAGAGTAGGCAGAGGCTTCCTTATCCACTACCACTCAGAAACCATGGATGCTATGGGGGGAACAGAGGAAGATGGGTGCAGGATGACCTTGACACGCTGCTGAACTCTGCCCCTAGGGGGACAGCCACACCCTCAAGGACCCAAAGTCTTGGCCATTAAGTTCTATAGATATGTAGGGGGAACCCTTATCTCCTCCATACATTTCTGTTGGATCCCATAGCAAGGAGATATACTTATTTAACAAGCTCTTATATAGTGCCTACTATGTGCCAGGCACTGTTTAAAGCATGTCACAAATACTAATGCATTTAACCCTCATCATAACCTTAGGAGTTAGGTACCATTGACATACTCATTGTACAGATGAGGAATGACCCAGAGAAGCGAAGTAACTTTTGCTATTAAGTGGTAGAATGAGCATTTGAACTCAGTGTAGTACTAGAGTCTAGTCTTGTACCCCTAAGTTCCAATGCCTCTTAGCTGTGGCATAGCAGAGAGGTTAAAAGCACACCCTCTGGAGCTAGCTACCTGTGTTCAAATCCTGGCTGTGCCAATTCACAGCCATGTGATATGGGAGGTCACTACCTTCTTTAGTAAAACTGAGCAAGCTGACCCTGTGATCCCCCACTTGGTTCTTCAGTCTATATCCCCATTGGGGACAACCCAGAGGAGTGGCAAGGTTATTAACTGCTCCCCATAAACCTCCAACATATTATATCCTAAGTCCTTCCCAAGGTGTCCCTGTCCACTTCCCTCTTCTCCACCACATTCCTCTTATTTCAGGAACCTGGGCCGTGCACCACTTCCTTAACACACACACCTGTCCCTACATCTTTCTCCACTTCTTCCCGCTGAGTGACACCTTCCGTGAACCCCACTGGTGTCTGCTGGAGCTCTATCAGAGCTTCCTGGGCTGACTCAAATCCCACCACTTCCCAGAGGCCCAAGCAGATTCCACTGGTTGGAATTCAGTGCCCCTTCCCAGTCTCCCAGGACATGTCAACTGCCTCGGTCATAACAAGCCCTGTCCCTCACGGACACCATCAGCCTGTGGAAGGGTTGGGGTCTCTCAGGGCTCTCAGACTTTCCTAGCTGGAAAGAATCCCAAAAAAGCCTCGGTAGACCACAGGAAACAGCCAGCTCAGCCCAGGGCTTGGGTAGAGAGAGCAGACTTTAGGCACTGACTTGTCCAGGTCACTCTGCTGCCGCTCGTAGTATCTCATGATCCGGAGAAGCTGGACGTCCTGGCTCAGGAAGCAGGGGGGGATTAGGCCATGGATTCCAAGCTGCAGCCTTTCTTCAAGAGTAAAGGCCATCCCCTGGGGAGAACAAGGAAGAAACACACACATAAATGGATATGCAGGAAACCAAGGAGCAGAAGAGGTTCCATGCACAGACAGGCAAAAGTCACTAGGACTTAACAGAAAGGGCCCTGGACTCAAATCCCAACTCTGCCATTTAAGCAGATGAGCAATTGTATGACAGTGACTTTGACTCTTCTGAGCTCCAGCTTCCATCTGGAAAAATGGGACAATATCTACATCATTAGGGTTTTTTGGGTTTTTGTTTTTGAAAATGCAGTTAATTTTTTAGAACAATTTTAGATTTACAGAAAAATTAAGACGATAGTAGAGAATTCCCATATACCTCCTCATCCAGTTTCCCCTATTATTAATATCTTAGATCAGTATGGGACATTTATAGTGATACATCATTATGAAGTAAAGTCTCTGGTCTATTCAGATTTCCTTAGATTTTACCTATCGTCCCGTTTTTGGTTCTAAGATCCCATCCAGGACCCCACGTTACATTTAGTCATCATGTCTCCTTAGGCTCCTCTTGGCTTTGACAGTTTCTCAGATTTTCCTGGTTTTTGATGACTTTGAGAGTTGTGAGACGTACTGGTCAGGTATTTTGTACAATACCCCTCTACTGGAATTCGTCTGATGTTTCTCTCATGACTAGACTGGGGTTACGGGTTTTGAGGAGGAAGACCACAGAGGTAAAGTGTGATTTTCATCACATCAGACAAAGTACATATTGTCAACATAGTTTATCACTGTTAATATTGACCTTGATCACCCGGCTGAAGTAATGCTTGTCAAGTTTCTCCACTTACTCCTTTTTTGGAATTCTTCTGCATGGGAGATTTGTCTCATTTCCTCCATTTATTTATTTATTCAATAATTTAATTATATTAGAATGGACTCATGGGTATTTATTTTATATTTGGGGTTATAATCCAATACTGTTTTATTTATTTTCTCACTCAAATTGTTCCAGTTTTGGCCATTGGGAACTCTTTCAGTTGGTTCCTCTGTCCGTTTGGCATAGTCCCATAATTTTCTTTTCTTTTCTTTCTTTTTTTTTTACTTTTTGGCACTACAAGATGCCCCTGGCTTATCTTGTACATTGCCTGCCTCAGTCCTAGAATCAGCCATTTTTTAAAGGAGGCCTGATTCCTTTTTTGGAGCATGGTATTAGAAACCAAGATGTGGGCTGTACTCATTACTTGTGCTCCTTATAACTGGAGTTTCATTGTTTCTAGTCTCTCTCAGCTGACAAAGCAAGGAAATGAATCTACAGTAAGCTAAAGATAATTTCATATTAACATCTCTAACTCTAATCCATTACCACATGAATCATTCTAGCCTCATCACCTTGCTGATCTGTAAATTCTCACTCCACCATCTGCCATCCATTTACTTAATTCCTCAATTCCAGTAAACACATGCAGCAGTGCCAAAATTGTTAGCCTGCATTACAATGGGAAACAACTTTATTAACTAGAGTTCAGCACTTAACGTGCAGTTCTTTTTGCCTTTAGTCTTACAAACTCCACTCATTTCTTTTTGTTTTTTTGGAGAAAGATTAGCCCTGAGCTAACATCTGCTGCCAATTGTCCTCTTTTTGCTGAGGAAGACTGACCCTAAGCTAATATTGTGCCCATCTTCCTCTGCCTTATATGTGGGATGTCTGCCACAGCATGGCTTGCCAAGCGGTGCCATGTCTGCATCTGGGATCCAAACCGGCGAACCCCAGGCCGCCCAAGCGGAATGTGCAAACTTAACCACTGCACCACCGGGCTGGCCCTCCAGTCATTTCTGCAGTTATTTAGGTCAGCACTTTTCCTTCCACCTCCTTCACTGAGGTTGTATCATACATTAATAAAACAGTTAGATTCACAGCCTGCATTCCTTTCTGGGATCAACCAAACTATTACAGGATTTTTTAAAAATCTGGATACAATAAGGTCTGTTCTTTGTACTATAAAGTTCTGTGAGTTTTGGCAAATGCATAACGTCATGTATCCATCATTACAGTATACAAAATAGTTTCACTGCTCTAAAATTCCATTGTGCTTTACCTATTCATCCCCCCTTCCTTTCCCTGAACCTCTGGTAACTACTGATTTTTTTTACTGTCTCTACAGTTTTGCCTTTTCCAGAATGTCATACAATTGGAATCATACAGTATGCAGCCTTTTCAGACTGGCTTCTTTCACTTAGTGATAAGCACTTAAGGTTCATCCATGTATTTTTGTGGCTTGATAACTCATTTCTTTTTATCATCAAATGACATTCCACGTCTGGTTGTACCATAGTTTGTTTCTCCATTTATCTATCAAAGGACATCTTGATTGCTTCCAAGTTTGGGTGAATACAAATAAAGTTGCTATAAATATTCCTAAGTAGGTTTTTGTGTGGACATAAATTTTCAAATCAGTTGAATAAATACATAGGAATGCAATTGCTGAATCATATGGTAAGATTATGTTTAGCTTTTTAAGAAACTGCCAAAGTGTTTTCTAAGGTGGGTGTACTATTTTGCATTCTCACAAGCAGCAAATGAGTTTCTGTTGCTCCACATCCTCTCTAGCTATTGGTATTCTCTGGTGTCTAAATTTTAGTCATTGTAATAGATATGTAGTAGTTTATTATTATTGTTTTAATTTGCAACTCCCTATTGATATCCAACGTGATATTGAACATTTTTTCATATGCTTATTTTCCATCTGTATATCTTCTTTGGTGAGGTATCTGTGCAGATATTTTGTCCATTTTTTCATTTTCTTATTCTTCAGTTTTAAGAGTTCTTTGATCTACAGTTTCAATCCAATCCCTATCAAAATCCGAATGGCCTCTTTTGCAGAAATAGAAAAGCCAAACCTCAAATTCATATGGAATAGCAGGGGGCCCTGAACAACTAAAACTATTTTTAAAAAGAAGATTTTGAAACTGAATTACAAAGCTACAGTAATCAAAACAATGTGGTACTGGCATAAAGAGAGACATATAGATCAACAGAATAGAATCAAGACTTCAGAAATAAACCCATACATCTATGGCAAACTGACTTTTGACAAGGATGCTAAGTTCATTCAACGGGGAAAGAATAGCTTCTTCAAAAGATAGTATTGGAACTACTGGATTTCCACAGGCAAAAGAATGAAGCTGGACCCCTACCTCACATCAAATACAAAAATTAACTCAAAATGAATCAATAATCTAAATATAAGAGCTAAAATCATAAAATTCTTAGAAGAAAATATAGCGGTAAATCTTCATGATCTTGGATTTGGCAATGGATTCTTAGATATGACACCAAAAGCACCAGCAACAAAGGAAAAATGAGATAAATCAACTTCACCTAAAACCTTTTGTGCATAAAAGGACACTATCAAGAAAGTGAAAAGACAAACCACAGAATGGGAGAAAATATTTGGAAATCATATATCTGATAAGGGTTTAATGTCCAGAATCTATAAATAACTGTTACAATACAACAACAGAAAGAAAAACAACCCAGTTGAAAAATGGGCAAATGACTTGAATAGACATTTCTCCAAAGAAGATATGCAAATAGCACATGAAAAACTGGTAAACTGATGCAGCCATTATGGAAAACAGTATGGAGACTCCTCAAAAAATTAAGACTAGAACTACTATATGATCTAGATATTCTACTGCTTGGTATTTACCCAAAAACATGGAAACACTAATTCGAAAAGGTATATGCACCCCTATGCTCACTGCAGCATTATTCACAATAGCTAAGACTTGAAACAACCTAAGTATCCATCAACATGAATGAATGAAGAAGATGTGGTATACATATATAAAATGGAATACTGCTGATCATAAAAAAAGATGAAATCTTGCGATTTGCAACAACATGGAAGGACCTTGAGGGCTTATGCTAAGCAAAGTAAGTTAGATGGAGAAAGCCAAATACGATATAATTTCACTCATGTGTGGAACATAAAAAAACAACAACAAGAAACAAACAAGATATAGAGAATAGACTGGTGATTGCCAGAGAGGGAGGGGGAAAGGGAGAGGGTGAAAGAGGTAAAAGGGCATGTGTGTATGGTGACAGAAGGTTAATTAGACTTTGGGTGGTGAACATGACGTAGTCCACACAGAAATCAAACTATAATGATGTACACCTGAAATTTATATAATGCTATAAACAAATGTTACCTCAATAAAAAAATAAAATAAAAAATTTTAGAAAAGAAGATATACAAATGGCCAATAGCATATGAAAAAATGCTCAGCATCATTAGTCACTAGGGAAATGCAAATTGAAATTATGAGATACCATTTCACACCCACTAGGAAGGCTGTAAGAACAACAACAAGAACAAAACAGTAAATTAAAAAAACAGCAAATAACAAGTGCTGTTGACGACGTAGAGAAATTGAAACCCTTGCTCACGGCTGGTAGGAGTGTAAAGTGTTGCAGCCTCTACGGAAAGAGTTTACGGATCCTCAAAAAGCTAAACACAGAATTCCCATATGACCCAAGCAATTCCACTCCTAGGTATACACCCAAAGGAAGTGAAAGCAAGGGCTGGAACAGATACTTGAACACCAGTTTTCATTGCAGCATTATTCACAACAGCCAAATAGTGGAATCAACCCAGGGGTCCACCAACTTATGAGTGGATGAACAAAATATATATATGTACAAGGAAAATTTATTCAAGCATAAAAAAATAAAGTTCTTATACATGCTACTACATGGATTAACCTCGAAGACATTAGGCTAAATGAAATAAGCTAGACACGAAAGGCCAAATGTATGATTCCACTTACAGGAAATATCTAGGATAGGCCAATTCATACAGACAGAAAGTAGATTAGAAATCACTAAGGGCTGAGGGGAGAGTGAGTTTGTGAATTATTAATGGTTACAGAGAGGGGTGATGAACAAGTTTTGGAAATAGACAGTGGTGATGGTTGCACAGCGTTGCAAATGTACTTAATGCCACTTAATTGTACACCTAAAAATGGTTAAAATGGGACCGGCCCCG